CTCCTTCAAGGTGGTGCTGCTCGGGGAGGGCTGCGTGGGCAAAACCTCGCTGGTGCTGCGCTACTGCGAGAACAAGTTCAACGATAAGCACATCACCACCCTGCAGGTGCGGGCCGGGCCGGGGGGCTGTGCTGGTGTGGGGGTCCCGCTGTTGTTCTCCCCTCACCTTGCGCCTCTCCGCGCGCTGCTGGCCGTGTCTGCTCTGCCGCTTCAGGGGCAGCCCGAGGCACTGCTCGCTCGCTCATGGTGCCTGTCCCCTGCCCAGTTTGCTGGAAGCTAGTTTTCTCTTTATTTTCACGCCTCAGATTCAAGCTTTCAATATGTTTAGGCCTCGTTTCTACTCTGCATACGAACTGCTCCGTTTTTTTCCAATTACGTATGTGAATGTCTTCATTTGAATCGTGGAAAGTATGATGCAAAAGTAATGTTATTGTAATCGTTGTTAGTGGACTGATGACTAAGTGTTTCATACGTGCTGCGTTTCTGTTAATCATGGTCTTCCTCGTGTTCTCAAATCCTAGCATTAGCACTATCTAAACGTTTCTGTTTAAGGAAAACAGCTTACACAAAATGGTTTATGAGATTAGGGCTTATGATTTAATAATGGGAAAGATTCTTAAAGCTGAACTGCTTGTCACGACAGCTCCCTGAATTTTGGCTGGATTCTCAGTAGTACTGTCTGTTGTTATAAAGAGCTACAAAGTGATGTTCCACACATGAAATGTGACAGGCTGCCTGCTGGAAAGTAATGGGTTTTTTCATGGCCTACTAGTTAGTGATGGATGGCATGTATGCCCTGGTACGAAATGAACTGCTTGTACTCTCAGTGGTCTCAGAGAACATGTCTTGGAGTTTTTTTTTTTTTGTGAGTGGTATGTTAAGTCTTTCAGGATCTCGCCTTGCGTAGATGGAAGTGTGGATTCAATGTATGCCACTCTTAATATTTCTTTTTTAAAAGAAAGAAACAAACCACGTCCCTTGGTGGACGAGTAGTGGGTTTTGAACTAATTTTGAATTTCCTGAAGTACAGAAGTAATAGCAGGTGGTGTTAAAAAGAAAAGAGTTTTAAGATAGTTACGTGCCATTCTCATGCATTTAAGGGAAGCTTCTTGAATTGTGTATCTCAGAAGGAATTAATAGTGAAACTTTCCCCTAAAATGCAAGCAGCATTATAGATGCACTAGAAGCAGTACAGGAAATGTTTCATAAACAAATAACATAACTCCATTTTTGCTGTGAAGAGGTAAAAAGAACATGATTTAGACTTTGTTATCCTGTGTTCATACTCAGGTTTTGGGCTAAGCTGTTGGTGGGTTTGCTAGGCAAGGTATCTATAGGAAGCTAGTTGAAGCTGTCATGCCACAATTGATGCTTGGTATGCCACAGAGATACCTGGTAGCTTGTAGGTGTCAGAGGTGCAGCAGGAGTGCAGCATTGAGCAAACAGTCAGTTAAAAGTGCATCAAAATGGTCACGGGTAGCTGAATTCTCATACCCCGTGTTTTAAGAGTAGGTCCAAGTAGATTATGTGGTGATGCTTATGTTTGTTGTTTGGGTTTTTTTGTTCTTTAAATCTGTAGTGGAAAGCCTAAAATTATGAGCAAAAACTGGGTTGGAATACAGACTTGGGCCACAAATATCATAAAACACACTTTTAAGTTGCTCCAAAATGCTGATAGGAAATGTCTGTAGATAGCGTGGCTGCAGAGCTTTTGGTTTTGCCTGTCTGCAGAGGGGTGTGTTGAGGAGTGGAAGCACGTGCTTGCCGTTCCTACTGAGCTTTTGTTTCTCCACCGTAACCAGGTTTGTGGTTGCTGCCTGTGTCTTTTAACTGACTGCTCATTGTTTATCAAATCGTTTGCTTTTCTGTTCTGAGCCTCCTTGGCCACATGTGCGTCTGATGTATATGTAAAATACAACGTCAATTGCTGTTGAATCTTACCGTGCATCATGTGCACTTGTTAAATGTTATCTTTATTATTTTTATTTCCCTGCATCTTACTGTTCTAGAAAAAAAGAAAATGAAGTGAGTACTTCCACTATCAAATTAAAAGACAGTTTAAAAATAAGATGAAGAGAAACTAGGGTATCTGATTAAGCAGTGAAGTAACATATTTGCAAAGCATCCTTTGTTGATTTTTTTTTTTGGAGATAAAAGTCTTAATCTGATAAGGTTGCTTTGTTTCATGGCAACAGTTCAAAGTAATGCACCAAATTCCTTTTGTTCCAATAAAGTCAAAATTAGATAAATACTTTGCTCCTGGTCCAGCAAAGGAGTGACAATGATGAATCATATGTAGAGGTCACTAGATATTGAGACAAGAGGCTCTCCATCCACAATAATTTAAAAAAGAAAGTGTTGCATAGTGTTTCCTTCCAGTATATTTGCAACAAAAAAAGGGTGGTGAGACTGTAACCTTCTGGAAACCTCACCTAGTGATGTTATTCTACTGTGAAGTAATTTTTTAATACCCAAATAGGTAAGCTTCTTTGGTGCTAGTAACAGAAGACTTGGACTAAAAGGGAGCAGTTTCTCCTCCCTGCCCGCTCCCCTCTCTCAGTGCCAACGGAGTGCACTGGAACCCCCTCTGATCTGGGATGTGTTGCTGTAGTTGTGTTAGTATCAATCATGTACTTAAATTGTTGTTTATGACCTGCCTGTTGAAGTGAAGGTAGCTACTGATTCACAGAAGAAAGCATCTACTTAGAACATTGTGGAAAAGCTGATGCAGGAAAAGTAGGGAATTTTGCACACAATATAATTCATAACCTGTAGGCAGACCTGGTGGGGCAGTTAAAATTGGTTCCCATTGTTTGAAATACTGAAGTAAGTGCCCTCATCTTCATGCAGTAATTATAAAAATATAAATTGATACCAAGTGAACTGTGCTGGAATTACTCTAATAATAAGCCTACTGTCAAACTATTGGGCTTTTTAATTTGGTAAATCCTTTTTAGAATTTAATTACTTGGGATAAATACAACTTCTGAATACTGCTCTCTTAAATGTGTGGAGGATTGCAGAGTATCCAACCCAAGAGAGCTGCTGATTGCTTTGATGGACTTGGCATAACCTGGAAAAGCTGTCTGGGTTATCAGGATAGCTGGGGGGTGAGTGAAAGACAGTGTAAGGAAGTTCAGTGCTATGTGCAGTGTTTGTATGCCTGACCTGCTTCTGTTGAACATGAAGCACTCAAGGGCAGATGCCACACACCTGCTTTTGTTCAGTGACTTTTGGGAGGCTCTCTTCCAGCTGTGTCTTCCTTGTGTTCTACTCAAGCCCCTTTATCAGCTCCTGGCAGGGCCTGGTGGGCATACAAAACTGAGGTCATAGAAGAAAATTAAAAGAACAAAAATATTTCCTACAGCCACATCAAAAGATGGGAGTTTTAGCTCTTATAATTGCATTATTCTTTTCTAAGCGTCTAAGTATTTTTCAAACCAGTCATAAGACAGTAGAGTTAAAATATAAAGATTAGAAGCTTCAAAGAGTTGTTTGAAATTACTTATATTTGAATTAACCATGTTCCTGTGAGTTTTTGAAAGTCCTAGCAAAAATGAATTGTCATAGTAATTAAAATAATATTGAGAATAGCTACTGATTGTAAATTGAGTCACAGCTCAGACTTGAGTACTTGTAGTACTCAGTTGAGTAATTTTTTTGGAGATTAGAGAAAATGTTGAAGCTTTTTCTATGTGTAATTACCTAATGCCCTGTGGGTAGTCAAAGGCTTTGATTTTGAAACTTGACAAACTTTAAAATCTTGGCAACTGACTTTTTCTCTAAAGTATCTCAAAACAGAAGCTGAAATTCTTACTTATGTGTTGGGTTTTCCCAAATTTCTAAAAACTGCACAGTCCTGCTATTCTTTGTCATTTTTGGTTTTTTTTTCTCTCTCACCTCAGAATGGCTTGGGGAGGGCTATATGTGAGTTGAAAGGTTAAAAGATATTAGTTGATTTGTCTTTGGCGTGTTTGCCACTGTGGATGTAAAAATGTTTTATTGATAGAAAATGCACCAAACTTACCCATACCTACTAATTCATGAGCAGAGCCTGCTAACTGGATTCTTCAAGTATATGAACAAAATAAAGAAGAATGAAGAATTAAATCTGTAGTATAGTATTGATGGCTTCCTCCAGCATGTTCACAAAGCTTTCTGCACATTACTAAACATGACTGCTTCAAATACCAAGTTCCAATCTTGTTATCAGACAAACCTGCTTGTTATCAGGGTATCTGATAGAGGATACTGTCTCTCCTTTTTTGATTATGGGCCTCAGACTTACGTAGACTAAAACTTAATCATTACAAATTCATCAAATTTTAATACAAGAGCAAGTATGATAGCCCAATGGTAAATGCCCTTGCCGCAGTCTTCTGTGGTTATGGATGTTTTTGCAATACAAAAAAGCATGCATGTAGGAGTATTTTAGTGTTGGGCTATATTAAAAATGAAAATCTATATCTGAGTGGTAAAAGACAGTATTCTTAGCAAAAACTGTAGTACCTGAAGGACAGGTTATACTGAAGCAAAACTTACCTATGCAGATAAACCTACTTTAGTTTTTGCTCTGTCAGATAGGAGATATACTTGTGCTATTAACTGGCTTGTTGTCTAAAGGTACAATGATACATCTTTATGGATACGGAGTTCTGTGTTTTTAAATATAAATCCCCTTTCTGTGAAAGATTTTTCTGCTCAGAAATTGATTCTCAAACACTTGTGTGGAATTCACATCAACATCAAACATTGCTCAGATGAGCTTTTCCTTTGAGATTTGCAGTAGAATATTGAGTACTATAGTACAGCAGATCAATAAAATATTGTCAGGTAAGCTTGATTCATTGTGCCTACGATAGCTTCTCTCCCTGTGGCCCAAGTGTTGGTGAATTAAAACTTCTGACGTTGCCTCCAAGCTTCTGGCTTTTAAACTGTGGTGTAACACAACAAGTGATGACTACTGATGAGTTAATCCTCAGGGACAGCTGTTTGAAAGCCATCAGCTACCTTCTCTAGGGTTTTTAATTAAAGAATGAAAAGTTTTCTGATGTTGAAGATTTGTTACTCTTCTTTTAAGCTGTTTGTTACAGGTTGCTTAGAGGGCCAAATCCATTTAATGTGCTGTCTGGAAATTTTCCAGACTTTTGGCCTTACAGTGAGTCTCCTCACTGTAAGACTGAGAGGGTAGTGTAGTGTTAATGCTTTAGGTATGTAGAACACAAGGGTTGTAGTGATCAGTTCTTTGCTATCTGTTCTTGCAAAGTGTTTTTCTTCTGGTTTGTTCTCTCTCTTTGTTCTTTTTATCAGGCTTTGTGGAAAGGTTTGGGGGAAGGTACAACTTAAAGATGGAAAGGATTTTTTTAATCATCTCATATTGGGTCATACAGATGCCAGGGAAGTAGCTGAAGAGCAGGAGCTGCTCTAGCAACTGAATGTTGATGTAACATAGGCAGCACTCCAGAAAGACACTGTGACAGCCGTTTAGGCTGGTGTGCATTGAACTGCTGTGGTCTCCTGTGTGCATTTCTGGTTGCTTGTTTAGTTAAGCAGCAGGCTGGTTCAAGCAGCTCATCTGGCCCATGACACTTCGCACACATGTGACTCGATTCTGTGGCTGGTCAGTGCTCGTACAGAGAGCTCCTCTGGAGCTACTGCAATCCAGCCTAAGCTAATCTGTGATGAATGTGTCATAAAATACCACTGAGTACTTGTTTGAACCCAAATGCAAACTGAAGTAAAACTGAAAGGCAAACTCACTATAATTTAAGGCAGAAGAAAAAAGTTAGCCCTTGGTGACTGAATTGTTTGATATAACATGTTACTGCTAGTCTTCAGAATGGGGAGAGCAGGTTCCTAATGCATCAACACCTTGAGACCCTGTTCTGGTCCATTAAACTTGTGTTAAATTATATTCCCTTTTTAGCTGTCAAATTACAGACCTGGTAACAGAGGTGGTTCATGTAAGTTTGGAGGAAACTAGACCTACTCAAGTTACTTAAATTAGATTAACCTTGCAATGTGCTCTGGTCCTGTAAAATATTTCCAGAAGTTAAAGTAGTAGAATTCTAAAGCAGCTTTTATGCTTATTCTGAGGCTTCTCAGCTCAAACAAACAAAAATACAGGACCAAAAAACAGGTGCAGGTGAGTTGTAGGCTCACTTCAGCAAAAAAGGGAAAAGTTGCAGACAAGGAAACTTGTGAAATACTCATGTTCCAAGATATTTAGTGATAAAATAAAACAATTGTTTATGGTTCTAGTATCTTAGTAATAGCAAACTACTTTGCCTAATTCCTACAGATTAGAAATCCTGATAGGTTTATTCCTACCTGAACTTCACAGATTCTTGTGAAATGCTTTGAGTTCAGCTTAGACTTATCAGTTTGTGAGTTCAGAGTCTTTCCACACAGCTCATCCTTCCCAAATCATTCAGAACAACTGCAAAAGATGTAGTAAATGATTGGCTTAACTCAAATTTATTTAGAATAGACTGCTGGCAAACTATAGTGAAATTACTAACTGGCTTAATATTGACTTAGCCTTCTTGCTTACAGAGTCTTTTGATCTGGAAATTTGTCTTTTATTGATTCTGATGCTTTATTAATTATTTTCAAGTCAAATTACGTGTTTGGTGCATAAAACTTAACTCTAATCTGTTTTGCTTTCCAGGCATCTTTTCTTACGAAGAAACTAAATATTGGTGGAAAAAGAGTAAACCTTGCAATATGGGTATGTTTCTATTTTTTTCTTCCTTAGCTAATTAGAATGTTTTTCTGGAAAAAAAAGTTACTTGGGCTTACTATATCACAAGTGTTGAGCACTTCTTAATAAAGTATTTGGAGTTCTTTGAAGTATTGTTGCTTTGTCTTAAATGCTAACAAGTGTATTTTGAATGCAGGATACAGCTGGGCAAGAAAGATTTCATGCATTGGGGCCTATCTACTACAGGGACTCTAATGGCGCTATTCTAGTATATGATATAACAGATGAAGACTCTTTTCAAAAGGTACTGGGCAGCTTTTACATCTGAACTGGGAACTGCTTGAAAGATAATCTGTGGTATATATAAACAGAACTCTTCTATTTTCAGCAATATATATAATATTTGCAAATGTAGATCATGTAATGGAAGTGTACAGTTTATCAGTATTCTTTTGAAGACTGCCTTCCCTGCTATCAGGTTATTCAAAGAACACCAAAGCATTACTTCAGTTTCTTAGAGCACAGTGCAAATAATGCCAGAGTTGTGGGTTTGATCCCTGTGTGGGCCATTCATTCAACAATTGCACTTCATGATCCTTGTGGATCCCCTCCAGCTCAAAATAATCTGTGGTGTAGCTGTGCAAGTTACCTGTGACATAAACCTGGACTGTAGCTGTGCAAGTTACCTGTAAACATAAACATGGACTGTTGTCATGGTATGTCATACTGGTCTGTAGTGTATAAACCAAATTACTAGAAGATACTAAGTGACATGACCTTTTACAGATCTGAGAACCCTGAAATTGCAATACGTGATAGTGGAGCCATTACCTCCTCTGTGAGAAGTTATTTGTTGTTAAATCCTCATCAAAATGTGTAATTGGATGGCTAGTTATTTTATGGCTCTATTAGTTGATCAGTTTGATCAAGTGAGTTTTTTCCACCCTGCATCACTCTGTGCTACCACTCTATAGGATTTTTCAGCTGAAAACTGATGACACTCTTTTAAGAAAGTTTGTCTCTGATTTTCAGCAAAACTAGTCAGACTTGTGTGTAGAGAGAAGTGAAAAAGTGTGGTTGCATGGGCAGGGCTTGGGTTAGCAGTGATGGAAATAGTGTGAGGGTACAGATCCACAGCAGTTTATCTAATTTAAATAGTCTGGTGTAGAGCAAGTAGAGCGCTTGTGCTAGCAGTTCAACATTTGTGGCCACCTGCAGAATGATGATGATGATTTGTGGGTGCTGCTTCAACTTGTGCCTTTTCATGCTGAGTCCTACATAGTAAAACCCTGTGATACCAAAACATTTAAATGTGCAGAAAAAGAGGGAAAACTGATTTACAGAAGTTACTGCAGAAGTACTACTGGATCATGTAGCCTAACTTATTTTTAGATTCTTGAAGTGACTGTCTCTCTTCACAATTATTCCCTTAAAATAGCAGTTCCTAAGCCAATGCAGTGATCATACCACTTTCAAACTTTTCATGACAACAGATTTGTTAACAGATACCTTACCATCAGCTGACTCAACATGCTAGTCCCATTTGTTTTCTCATGAAATAAACATCTGTTATAATCTAACATGAAAAACTTACTTTAGGTGCCTCTGCCTCTAAAGTATTGTTTGTGGTCTGTCAGTAAATGCCCGTTGATAAAAGATCTCATGTCTGACCTAAAGTGGCCCATGCAGTGAACTTGCTATATTGAGTGTGGTGAGTTATATTTTTGGAGTAATTGAACCATTTTATCTAAGTAATTTGCTCTTAATTTCACCTGTGAAATAAAACCTGCTGAACAAGGGCCATATGTAGCAATCTAAATATTTTCTCATCTGTGTTGCTCTAAACATTTTTGCTTTAAGTTTAGAGTAGATGGGGTTAAGGAAATGGAGTGGTTCCACACTGCCTAAGATAATAGCATATTGAGTGAAAACAAACTCACCTCTGTTCTCTTTGCAGGTAAAAAACTGGGTTAAGGAATTAAGAAAAATGTTGGGAAATGAAATCTGTTTATGTATAGTAGGTAAGTCTTTTTCAACATGACTGAAGTGGAAACATCTCTTGATCAATAGCATCTTCCAAATGCTGCTTTGACAGCTTGTACATGTGAAGGGGTGAAGCTTGTTAGATATTTAAAATTAAACTGGAGCTAGAAGTTTCAGTAGATCACATGGAGGAAAATAAGAGTTTGATTGAAAAAATAAGCTGTTTAATTATACACTATTAGAAGTGCATGGTACAGACACCTGCAGACTTTAGTTTAACAAAAAAATGTACATTTTCCTTCTTTCAAGTACTCAAACTCATGGCTTTTCTCAGTGGCATAGACTAGGTGCTTGTCTGTTTTGATAATTAAGTGCTTGCAGGTTGGAATGAGTCTTAAAGATTGGAAATTTTAATGCAAACGGAATGCAACGGAAGTGATGGGTTTAGATTTAAATCTGATCTAATTATTAAAACACTTCCATGAGGTTACATATGTGGACATTGTACAAAAATTACCTCTGCAGCACATGGAAGGCACTAATAAATCACAAAAAAGTGCAAAAGGCTGAATTGGGTGGAGGCATTTAGCTGTCCTGATCTCTCTACAGAACTAGCACCTTATAGCATGCAAATGCTTGGTGAAAGGAGATTCTCAAATCATAGTGTTCTTGAAAGTGAGACCTGTGTAAGAGAGCTGCTCTTTACTGGGACTTACTTGAGAAAATGGAATACCATGATTACATGTCTGCTTTCTTTTGGGGTAATTTTAGAGTACAAAGACTTAAAAGATTAACTTGTTTCCAACAGGTAACAAAATAGACTTGGAAAAAGAGAGACATGTTTCAGTGCAAGAAGCAGAAATGTAAGTCACATCTATTACTAACAGAAACAGTCATTGCAGAATTATGCTGGAGTAATAAACTCGTGATGCTGTTAACATAGCAGCCAGCTAGGCACTGCTGGCTTATGCCTGCAAGTTGTTGAGTGTTCTGTTAGTGACTGAGTCACAGGGTGTCCTGGCTGGCCAAACTGTACTTTGAGAGTTGTTTGTTATTAAAGTCAACATTTACAGTTTAAATCCCTTTCTAGACATGAAATTGTCTTAATTTCAACTAGTGTGCTGCATCAGTCGTGGCAGTTTTAAACACATAACTCCTTTTTTTGTATTAAATAAGCATGTGTGGATTAAGTCTGAGGTCAGAATAAAACCTCTTGTGATCATCTTATTACTTCATGTAAAGTGGCTTAGAAAGATTGAGTCCTTTACTACAATGAGGCTCCATATCTTAATTTCTGCAGGTATGCTGAATCTGTTGGAGCAAAACATTATCATACGTCAGCTAAGCAGAACAAAGGAATTGAAGAACTGTTTCTTGACCTTTGCAAAAGTAAGTATTATGTAGTTTGTTGGTAAGGAGCTGATTCATAAAATGCTTCAGGCTTCAGAAATGTTTTTCAGGCCATGTAGAAAGTTTGAGTGTTAAGTGCTACTTACAACTGACTTCATTTCAGTCTACTCCAAACCACTTGTGTTCTGTAACAGCTCTGGAAGCTTCATGTATGGATGCTCACAATACTGCAAATTCATGCTCTGCTCCAAAAATGTCTTGGTCTTTTGTTGAAGCACTGACTGCTGTTCTACTTACCATGCATAAATAGTAACCTAAATCAAACTTCATGTTCCTGGTCTCACCACTGCTTGCTTTAAATCCTCTGTTTCATACTTTTTCAAAAATTTTCTTAAATTATGTCAATTACAAATCATAAACTCAAAGCTCTAACAATGCAAATTTTACGCAGAAATCTCAACAAATGGTAAAGATCGTGGTATGTGGGATGAAAATCCAACATAAGCAAATCATCCTATTAGTTGTATTTATGAGATAAAAGAATTTAAGGAAGAGGTCTTGTGTGTTTCTGAAGAGGTAGTTGCTTGGGGTTTTGGGGGGGCTGGAGTTTGTTGTTTGTTTGGTTGGATTTTTTTAACAGTGTTACTGATAAGGGTGTGTAAATCTAGCTTTTCAAGTAGCTAACTCCAGGACACCTGAGGATCACTACAATCTCCCTTAGGTACCAGGAGCTCGTGTATGTTGGGTGCTTTAGAAAACAGATTTAATATGTTCTTGCAGTTATGCCATGTGATACCTGAGTACTTACTTCTGCATAACAAATAGGAGAACCACTCTTGCTGAACTTTTCTCTCTGTGCATATAGCTCACAGAGATTAAGATAGCAGAGTCCTAATGTAAAAGTACAATGGAATGTCATCTAATACACATCTTTCTTTACAGGAATGATAGAAACTGCTCAAGTGGATGAAAGAGCAAGAGGCAATGGCTCCAGTCAGTCAGGAACAGCAAGGCGAGGTGTACAGATCATTGATGATGAGCCACAAGTACAGAGCAGCGGAGGGTGCTGTTCTTCTGGATAATTATAAAACTGTGCATCACTGCCCTCTCAATATGAAGACTGCCATATTCCAAGTCACACATTCTTTACCAATGGAGTAATAGAATTAACAGTATTTAAAAATAATCACATGTAACACTGCAGAGACCTTAAGTGCTAAACTAGTGGCGTCTGTGACCAGAGAATTGGCATTTTCTACAGTGGTTAACAAAGCAATTACCAATGGCCTTTTTACATATTTTTCTTTAATGAGGAATAATATGCATGTAGAAAAGACCTACTTAAAGGCTTCATTTATATTCTTTTAAATCAGATCATTATTTAATAACTTATATACATTGTTGTTGGAATGGTATACGTTTTTGCAGCTCTTTGTACTTTGTGGTAGATGGAATTGTATCACTTCTAAAATGCAAATTGATTTTTTTTTAAATTAGCAGATATCTGAATTAATATTTTTGCAGGGCCTCTACAAGCCTATAACTCAACTACTTTGATATATTCTGTTCATCTGTATGCCAAGCTGATAAAATACATTGTAAATTACATATTAAATATTTTATCTGCTTTTACAGTTGCAGGTGCAGAAATATGTACATCAGTCTTGTCTGTGATCGTGAAGTGAATAAGTCAGTGAAAGATGCAAGCTTTTCATGTGCACTGTTAAATTGCTCATTCTATTCCCCTACCTGAAAACAGCTTTGTTTTGGGTACATCCATAGCTACAGCAATTCTTTAATCCGTTTCTGGCAAGCAGCAGTATTTAGAGCATCCCCTTACTGGAAGAGAATGCTTTTGTAAACTGCTGTTTATCATTGAGGTGTTTGACTTGCAGCTAAAACAGTTGGTGCATGCACATACCTTGCCTCTGCAGTTACTCTGTTCTCTCAGAAGATCCCCAGAAAGTCAAAGCAACCTTAGCCCTCATCTGTCTGGTAGCCAGTAAACCAGATGCATGGGAAACTCTTTAGCTGCTCTAATACATTTGTTTCCAAAGACAGCATTATAAACTATTCATGAGCATATTTTTCTTCCCTGTAGGGCTTGAGTGAACAATTAATTGACATTAACTAGAACTTCTAATTTGGAGTGATGAAATTGAAGATGTGAAACTTGCCAGATGTAGCTGTAACTAAGGGGATTCTAGGCAGAATTGAACTTATTCCTAACTTGCTCTTTCTCTTGTAAAGTGTTTTGAAAAAGCCCATTTAAGTTTCAGGAGGAGGGTTTTCAAAAAAAAAAAAGTGTGAACTACTGTCACAAAAAAACCACAAGTGGTGGTAGCTGAAATTTCGAAATGTTTTGTGCTCTGACTTTTTTTACTTAAGTTGTCATGCTTGGAAAAACAGTAAAGGTGATGTCTATGACAAAGTAGAATATCCTTGGCCTTCCTTTTTCTGAAAGGTAGATTTAGTATTGCATATGAATGCACTGAATCGTGTGGGTATGTTCTGATAGACAAAAAAGTAGTAGTAATGAATTAGTCTGTGTAAGAAGTGTGCTGTCTTCAATCTGATTTTTGTTTTCTCTGAAATACTAGAGGGCTTTGATACAGACTGATCCTGGTGCATTTTCTCCTTTCCTGCCTTAACTGTAGTGTAGATACTTTTTCTTAGACCACCATTGCTGTGTTCTTCTGACATGTTTGTGTGCATGATGGAGAAAGGTGGTCTGTTCCTGGTAGTGAAGATCAAGTTTCTTGGCTGTGCAGAGCTTTGGTGTGAACCTAGAATCTGTGATTATATGTGTCAACATGTAGCAACACTGTTACCTTGCACATATCTAACAACAGTGAGCTCTGACAAAGTTGAAAACCAGATCAGTTTGGTCTAACGCTGGTATCTGACAATCAGCCTTGTGATACAATATATGAAGAGTGAAATTGTGAAGTCTTGATGTTCAAAAACGGCATTGCCTCCGAATAGGAGTTTCAGTTTTTTTATTCAAATTTAATTTTTTCCATCTCTGCAAATAAAACCCTGAACAGCCCAACTTCAACTAGACATAGTTGAAGCAGTGTGTAGAATGTATCTTTCTGCCTGCAGTAAGGAGTTTCTTAGTGTGTTGTGTGGTAGGGGCATCCCATGTGACTTTGTCAATTACAAAACTAACGAAGGCATGTTGATACTAGCTCTTAAGTCTCTTATGGAATTAAAGCTATTACTACTGAAAACTTAGGTGGGGATAAAGAAGTCTACAATTTTGTAATACCAAAAAGGTTCTGGTTCCTATTAGTGAAATATTTTTAAAATTCAAGTTACTTTTCTTACTTAAGCTACAACATAAATATTCACTGGAAACCTTCCTGTCTAAGCTGTGATTTGGTTGGACTTGATTTATGAAACTTAAAACCTGTGTTTGCAGGGTAGCATTGTATAACTGGATGAAAGTATAGCTTTGTGAAGTCAGGGAAGCTGGTTGAAGACTAGACAGAAGTTGAAAACATGAATTGTTTGGGCTAATTTACATAGGACTTCAACTATTCATTGTTAGCAGACAAAATACAACAGTTGCAGGAGAAAGCATCTTTGTCAAAGATACCAAGAGTGTTCTTTGCACTTGATATACAGAAAAGCACAAATAGCTTGGTTTGCTATATTTGAGCAGAATCTTACTCAAGTAACCTGGTAACTAGTATGTGAGTTGTTTTTCAAGAGTCTTGAATCTTGCATTTGATCTAGATTGCCTGGTTTGTACGTCTGAAGGAGAACTGTTTTCTTGTTGCTGATTTCTGTGGCTGTAAACAAGTAAGCTTATTTTCATTCTTCTGAGAAGTGAAAGAGAAGAGGCTGCCTGTCTTTGGGAAGTACCTCTGTTGTGGGGCAGGTAGCCAGACACCCACTATAGCATGTGTAAATCAACACTGAGCACACTTCCTCAGGGTGTATCTTGACAGAGATTACTCACATACATACTAAAATAAAATGTAACTTTGTACAATACCTTTCTAAAACAAATTTTAAGTGCTTGCTCACAGTCTTGATGCTGCTACTATGAGTACATGAGCTGCCTATGAAACTTTATCCCTTGCTGGAATAAAATCCAACAAGCCAAAGTCCAACAGCTTTAATGCAGCAGTATGTCTCTCTGCTGGTTGTTATTTATGGACACTGTATACTGCACTTAGACTTTACTTCAGAAGCTATAAAAGATGGGATAGACTGATACAGACAAGGACACACAAATTCAGATGTATCATATTTGGACATGACTGTAACTAGCTGCAAAGACTGGGAGAGCTGGCTTCTTCTGGCTAGCAGTGGTCTTGCATGTGATTTCAGAATGGAGGTATCCAATGGCCAGATTAACTGTATGAGATGGTCTTTTGAAGCAGTCAAGTAATTGAGTGTTGCCTTGATTATATTGCATGCTTTCCTTCAGTGTTCACACATTTTGTGGACAGGTGTTTTTGCATTCTACCACATAGAAAACTGCCTGCAGTTCTTAAAGAACTTAGTGATGAAATTTCTACTTTAGTTTCCAAACAAGATGAAAAAGACTTTGCGAAAAGGTATGAATTATGGAAAGTGGTTAGATCTCAAATGGAGTTCTCAAAAATGTTGGATGCTGTCAAAATGCAAAATGTAAAAATGAAGGTCAGGAATCTCCATAAGCTGAAAGCAGTTAAGTGATATGAATAGTAGAGTATGGGAATAAGAGTTGGAGCCAGCCACATCCCATTTTTCTGCTTTTAGTGGAATGAAAAGGAGAAGTAGGAAAAAAAAGGAATGTTGGAAAAACTGAGGTTGGTGGTGGTAGGCTGCTGAGTAAGATGACGAGTTAACCTTTGAGTTGCTAGAGAGTCTCAGGAATGGCAATATCGGACTCAGGATTTCTGATAGCACTTCTTGGGTTGTTCCTACTTCTGTGAAATACTCTTCTTCCTTCATTGAAGAGAATGCAACTAACTTTGAGCAGGCTTTCAGGCACAATACTAACCTGCTTAAAATATTTTTAATTAGAATATGCTAATTTATTAACTATTTACATTTCACTGACTTTGTTAATCTTAGTCTGCATCGAATCCTAGGAGTTTTTCTTGAGAAGTTGGGAAGTACATCATGCCATGAGGATAACTTTCACTGCAGTTATGTCAAGGAGTTGCAGATGATGACCAAGACCCTTTGCACTACTTGCTGTGCAAGCTCAACAAGGTCCCCAAACTAACTCACTAGCTCTTAACAGTGCTGGGCACTTGCTTCTGCTATTCTTTGGAGGATTCTGCTCAACACCGGGTTTTTCCTTCCATACAGGCAAGCCTGTGCAACTTAATGATGTAGCTGTCTAATAAATTTAGGCTTTTTCTATCAAATAACAATGTATACTCTTTGCTCCTGCATTTTTTGGGGCTGTCATTGGCCCCTGTATTGAGCAGAATGAGATGGAGATGATTTTGAGAGTTGTGGAGAATAGGGAATGTTTCTTGTCTTGAGATGGCTTGGAAAGTGAGAGTCCGTGAAAAATTCAACATTATGACAAAGTATTATTCTGCCCAAGATAACAGAAAATAGTTTGGCTCAGATAAATTTTTGCTGTAATATGTTCAAAAGGATAATTTGCTCTACTTCTAAAGTGAAAACTTATTTCAAGCTGATCTCTCTAGTCTTAACTTTTTTTTTAGGTTTACTTAACTTGGCCAAAGCCTTAAATTGAGTGCCATTTATACAGCCGTAAACTAAACTTTGATTGTTGGGAAGAACAGCATACTTGTTCATATTCCACTGGCCAGTTTAGATCTAAGATTGTGTTTATTCAATACCAGGATGTTAAAAGATATACTGAAAAATAGTTTTAATCTATTTCCACTGCTTTGTGCATTCAGGCAAGTAACATGGATGTGATGCAGCTGCAGGGTCACTGTGAAAAGGGGACTTCTCTTTCTTTTCCTGCTTCTTGGCTGCATTGATCTGTGTTGCTAAATTCCTCCTACAGGAAACAGTGCTCTGCAAGAAAGGAAGTGCACGTTTGCTCCTTGCTTCTCTAGCTCCTGTAGACAGTGATAGGCACTATAGAAGTTATATCCAGTTCCTCTCAGCTTAATAACCCTTTTTTTCCTCAAGTGGAGCTTTTCTTTCATCTTGACAAATAATTCTTTTTGTGTATCTAGTCTCATGATCCCTTCAAAGGATTTTAATACTTTATTGTCATTTACCTGAAAGATGTTTAATTTGAAAGCATGACAAGGAAGGATAATGAGTAGCAATTTTGCAGCAGTCTTCCCTAACAATTGGCCATATCCCATCTCCAAAACAATGAAGAGAGAAGATTCAAGTTTAATGGTGAGTCCTTGCTAGCTCTGTATCTGACTTCTGATTCTTGGATATTAGAAGTGACTTATAAGAAATCTCAGTTGAGAGGGTTTGAGAGAGCAACTACTTCCTCATCAGATGCAAATTATTGATACCCTGTGACAGATCCAAACTCATGGGGTTTTTTAACTGTTAAAACTGTTAAATTGCAGGCCCTTCTTCAAGTTAGGCATTCTGAAACATCAACAAATTTTGGACTTGCAGTGGAAGAGAACAAGTATTTTCTTTTTCAGAACAGGAAACTTTAAACTGACTAATCAGGCTTGTTTTAGTAAAAAGAGAAAAACCATTTGATACCTAAATCTTTAAGTGCCGTCAGTGCTATTTGATCATACAGGCATTATAATCATTGTCTTACAAGGTTTTTCTCATCAGATAAGCTCATTAAGCTTATCAGTCATACTCAAATAAAAAGAAAACATTAGCAGGGCAAATCCAATGCTGAAAAGGATGCAGCATTTTTAAAGTTGAGTAACTTAACATTGACAAATGTTATAAGAATAATCTATTTGGTGTTTGTGGATAAAAGAAATTTTGTAAAAACATACTAAAAATATCCTGCAGGGGCTTCACGAATGTTAACTTTCCCAGTGCATTTCTGCAGCTGGAGTTCTTAAATACATCTTGATATATTTATATACCAATGCATTTAGAGGAAGATAGTCCTGTGATAAATTAATGCCAAATGGTCAATTAACTATTAAAACAAGGATTCTTTTGTCATGACTGCTGCTTGATCAATGCTCATATTAAAAGTGACAATGCATGGAAATGGATCAGTAGGGGGAAAAAAGTGTACTGAAAATCAATGCAGAAAGAAAATATTGTCATTTCTTACATTTACAGAATGTTACAGAATTTGAAACTTGATGACAGTGTATAATAAAGTGGCACTGAAAGTTATTGGAAATTGGGGGCAGTGACTGAGACCAGAGGTTTTTTTTTATGTTACACATATAATATTTCTGAACTCACCTGAGTCAAAAGATGGCTTTAAGATATCAAACCAGGCTCACTGAGGTTACTGTAAATTATCCTAGCATATACCCCAGAGACTGTAGTGTGAGCATATCCCAGTAAAATAAAGCTTTGACTCTCAACACTGGTTTTGGCATCTCAGAACAGAGGAAGGAGCAGTTGCTGTTGAGCTACATTTATGTTTAATAGTAGCCTCAGGGATGCTGCCTCTGTGCAGCAAAACAAAGTCAAACATGGAACCAAGGCTAGGGTGGGGATTTTCCACCAGCTGTAACGTGCTGCTTCCTGTCTCCACCATGAGTGCTCGTTCATGCTTCCCTAGTGAAAACTGCTGGCTGGCTGATGCTGTGGATTTGAACTGGGTGGACATTGTGAGTGAGAACAGCAAGCAGCAGGAAAAGCACAGCAAGATGACAGCAACTGGCATGTTTCTGCTTTAGCTGTTCTTAGCCCTTTCACTTGCAGTTCTAAGAAGTCAGTAATTCTATCTTCTTGTCACAGAATCACTGAATGGGTCAGGTTGGAAGGGACCACAGTGGGGCATCTGGTCCAGCCTCCCTGCTCAAGCAGGATCATCCTAGAGTACATTACAGGGAATTGTCCAGGCAGTTCTTTAGTATCTCCAGTAAGGGAGTCTCCACAACCTCTCTCAAAAAAGGTGCATTTTCTAGTAAGTGGGAGTTTTTTTGTTGTAGTTTAAGAAAGTAAAATCCAGAGTTTTTTAGAGTAAATGTAGTTCCTTCACAATTTGCTTTTCAAAATATGTCAGCATTTCTCTAAAGGGGCTATGTTAAGTGGTGAAGAGCAAGTGTACTACTTGTAGTTACACTCTGCAATCAGAGTCCTAAGGTGAATATTTCAAATAGCAAGAGGCAGCACAGTATCTGATATACCTCGGAAGTCCATCTACTCTCCCGCTGTTTTGTGATGTAGAGTAATTGCAAAACAATCCTCAGCTGTAAGCTGTGTCCATCCCGAAGTTGGATTGGGGCTTAAAATGGCTCCAATCAATGGCCTGCAAGGAATCCTTTCAGCATGTGAATACTGCGGTGTTTAGCACTATGTGCACCTTTTCTTTTTCAGATACTTAGGGATTTCAGCCTGTATGGGAAATCAAGTGATCTCTGAAGATGACAATGGTAGCGAATTAAGATCAAGAAGTAAACATTGACTGCCCTTACACTAAAGCAATTGTTCTCTTACTTCTCTGCTCTTTCCAGGAAATGTTGTTTGTTGCTATTATGATGTATATGTAGAAGTGATAGGGTTACAACAATTTGTCTGCCGTGCTGCATTCCTAGCTCTGGCAATACTGGTGTGCCAATGGCAAACAACAGATCAGTTTCTGTTTAGTCATCGCTGTCGGATAGCTTCCAGCTACCCTCTATGGAGGCTGATGCAATCATGAATTTCTCCTTGCATGACAAATGCAGAGCATTCATGTTAGTATCTGCTCTGCTTCTTTTGTATTTACAAGCCCCACAGTTTTATACCCCACTGAGAGAAAAAACCTATTGTAAAGTGATGGTCGGTTACACCAACCGCAATGTTTTCTTATGTGACAACTTCTATATGTTTTGGGTTGATTCATATTCTGGAATTGTATTGATACACAGATAAAAAATCAAGTTCACAAACACGAGCTCAGTGCTGTGCTTAAGGATATTCAAAATGTGATGCTGCAAATGCTTCAAGAAATCTCATCACCCAGCATACATGCCTTCATGTCTTGTTACATTTCCATGCCTTCACACTGTAAATACAAATAAATGCCACTGGGGTATGGCATTTCCTTCCTTTTAATTTTGGTCTATGTATACTTAGTTTGTCTCCATTCTTGTCTAACCTTGTTGCAGAAGGTAGCTAAGCATGGAACAGTGCTCTATCTGCATGCTCTACTTGTTCAGGTTAGTGGATTTTTTATGTTTTCTTTGAGGAACAGGTTAGAAAGGCTATCCTATCTTTATCTCTCAGTTTCTGCTTTGAGGTAGAAACAATTGGTAAGTAAAGAAGGTCCTAAGTGGTCCCAGAGGCTACATTTTCTGGCAAATAAATTAGGCCAGAGTGCATAAGGAGCTCTGGCCTTGAGAGCAGATGGCACAATGCAGCTTTAATCCAGGTGCTTTAGTCCTCTTCTGCCCTTTAAATCATATTTACATGCTGCCAGCTTGCAGTGGCTGTGCTGTCCCCAACCCCATCTCTATGTATTAGCCTGAGAAACCGTAAGTGGTATGGTCCATAATTACATAAAAGAGCAAACTATTAATAAAATGTAAAGGCTGACTGTACCCCAGGGGCTTTCTTGGTTGACCTGTATGGATGTGGGCAGGGACTGATCTCCCTCCTGCTCTCCTAATTGTGGAATAGAATGGAAGGTATTTTAAAAAATCTTTTCCTCTTGCATGGGGAAAATAAGAGCATTTCACAGCTAAATCCTTGGATATTTCATTTATTGTCTACAGTACAACTAATGCTGAGGAAAGGTACCTCTTAAAATATGAGGAACTTGAAAAGCCTAGTCTGCAGCTCTCTCCTGGGTGACTTGCTGCATCCAGAGTCCAGGACAGCACCCCATTTACTATCTCATTGTGGTCTGTGATAAACTGGAATAGCCTAGAAAAATTGTGGGTTGCATCTGTCCATGCAAGGCTTGGAATACATCCATTTCCTATGAGGAGAAATAAAGATCAAAGGGAAAGATATTTTTGGTATTGTTTTTCTTTGTTCCTCTGCTGAGGGGTTGTTTGTACAAATTAAGCCTGTGATGGAAGGACTTGACAGAACCCGCACTTGTCTTGTGTGGGCCAGGTTTTCATGTGGTTGAGCATGTGGGCAGCTGACACTTCTGAACACAGGAAAGTATCTTGGAACTCTGCTGAAATAGTTGTGTGAACAACAACAATAGCAGCTGCTGCAGCTTTTGGCACAGCAGTAATAGCTATGCTTGCAGCTGTGACAGCAACAGAAGCCACGGGAAAGCCAGGAACACTCTGGCTGCACACTCAGTGCTGGCTGCTGTGCTGTGACCACCTTTTATGTGACAGAAGTGTTAGAGCAGATGGTTAATTAAAATCCAACAAAGAGTGGGCCCCCAGGCTACAGATACCCTCCTCCTTAGACTCCCATCTGTGTAGTGTGTGAAAGGTTGGACTTCAGCATAGAGCTACAGAGTGTCCCATTGTTTCCTTAAGGGGCTTATGGAGGAGGGAGAGGGACCTGCTAGCACCATGTCAGCCTGTGGAACTTGCTGTTGTGTATCATTCAGGTCTGCAAAGTACAATAATGTAACACACCAATAATGTACGCTGGGAAGCAGCCTTGCACAAAGGTATCTGAGTGTCAAAACCTCTGCACAACAAATCAATCTTGAGCCAGAAAATAAAGCCATCCTGGGCTCCATCAGGAAGAACACTGCCAGCAAGCTGAGGGGTGATGATACTTCCTCAGCCCTTGTGAGAGAGTTCTGGAATGCTGGGTCTAGTGCTGGATTCCCTGGTAGAATGGAGACACAGCCTGGAGTGAGACCTGTGAAGGGCAATCAAAGGCAATTAGGAGACTGGACCATCTGTCATACAAAGAGACGCTGACAGATGTGAGACTGTTGTCTCTAGAAGGCTCAGACGATCTTTTCAATATCTAAATATAGATTATGAGAGGAAGTAAAGAAAGCACTGGTATCTTTAGTGGTATTCAATGACAAAATGGACCCAAACCAAAATACAAGAAATTTCATTTAAGCATAAGAAAAACCTTTGGTTTTCCAAAAGCAACCAAACACTGATCAAAGAGCTGGACTGAGGAGGCTGTGGTTATGTATATTCTTGAAGATTCTCAAACTTTATAAAGCTCTGAGCAATCATTTGTGATTTGCTCTGGGCAGAAGGGTTGGATTAGATGATCTCTAAAGATTCCTGCCAACTTCAATCTTTCAGCAGTCCTTTGATAGAGCAGCCTGATAACAAATGTAATTTTGCTCCCCAAGTAACAATATACACATTGTTATACAATGAAAATTTGCTAAAGAACAAGGGAGAAGGCCCAAGATGGATGTCTAGAAGATTGGGTAAGTAGCTAGAAGATGGTCATATATATCTCATGGAGTAGATTGGTCTGTGGGACTGAGTTCTTTGAAACATACTGGCCTTCTTGACACTGAGGTAATGGTGACTGGCATGCTGAGAACAGCACAAATGGGATTTATCTTTTCATTTTTTACTTAGTTGACAGCTCCACGAACGTCAGCTTGAGGAAAAAGCCTTTCACACAACTTGTGTGCAAATTTTACAAATAATAGGCAAAGTCTAGCACTGAGCTGACTTGACAGAAGCAGGACCTTTGCAATGAGTGAGAGTGGGTGATAATTGCCCTCAAAAAGAATAATGGCATTTTATCTTGGGCCCTGTAGAAGGGTGGGAGTGGGTAGATGAACAGGAGGAATTAAGATGAGAGGGTTAAAATAATATGGGCTGGATTAATGACTAAAACATTCTGCAGAAGTCTGGATGTATCACAATGGTGTGGGTCACTGTCAGCAAACAGAATGTTACAAGAGAAAATATTTAGCTGTGTGGATAGATGGGGAAAGCTGTGATTTAGTGCTGTTGTACTAGAAAATGCCAGCAAGGGAGTTGGGTAAAGCATGTAAAGACAGAGTCCTGAGAGTTCTCTAAGACTAAGGCATCAACCAAGCTGTGGGCCCTGGAGACATATGGTTATTGATATTGAAGTGAGAGATGACTGCCAAGAGAATCTGGAGGAAAATAAAACCATTTTGTCTGTTAGCTATCTGCAATGATAATTTGGATCAGAATTGATGGCTATGGTAGAAATATGGCAATGAGTCATGAGATGCATATGTATTTATTGACACAATTTCCTACAAAGAAACAGAGGCTTTGATTCAATATGCTAATGATCAAGTTCAAGAGACAGGAGAACTAGAAACTGGCAATCATACTAGTAAAGAGAGCAGACCTCGAGGAGTCACTGTAGATTGTGGCTTGACTAACAGAGTTGAAATCTGAATCTCAATTTTGAGCTTCTCCTAGGAAAGAAACCTTGACAAAGCAGTTTCATTGAAGAGCCAGAACAAGGGGATGCAATGGAACCAATCAAAGGAAGTCCTCAGTGTTCATTGCAAATTTCAGGGAGGTTAGAGATGAAAAGGAAGTGCAGAGAAACAGGATTACAGATGGTGTGAAAGTAATGTATGGTTATATTGCAAGGAGTAAGAAATAAAGGGTAGGAAAAGGAAAGGATGAAAAGGAACACATAGGATACCAAGTGAGATTAAACCAATGTGGAAGGTAGCTAAAACCCTTGCACCCCTCAAAGCAATTAATTTATGGTGATGTGTGATGCATTTTTAGTGTGTAGCCTTCTCCCTTGTATTCATGGTGACACTAAGTTGTGTTCTTAAACAAAAGGACCACCAAAGTTAAGGTGTCCATTTTTGCTACACTTTCCAGACCTAGAGATTACTACAAGAACTTGTGATCTGTGTTTTTATTTAATTTTCTCATCTTTATGCATGTTTATATACAGAGAGTCACAACAGGCTTTTCCAACTTTAAAGCAGATCAGTATTTGTCTTGAAATTTGGAAATCTGGTTTTCCAAGGTAAGTAGGGTATGGGTATTAATCTAACTAAATGGGGTTTTAATTCAAAATTCAGAAGGGAATTATAATGCCACTTTATGACAGAAATAAAACCTCCCAACCAACCCACTCCAAAACTCAAATTACCTTTGCTCCTTCAGAGAAGCAAATCACTTCCCTGCACACATCTCGTTTGTCTGTTTCAAATAAACACTATTTGGGGATATAGTGTTTGCTCAAAATATTTTATGATATTGTTGGAATATAACCAATGTGTTAAAAACCATCTTTGTTATGTTTCAGACATTATGTGAAAGCCAATTTTTAAAAAGTAATACCATACACAATATACTTTTCCAGATAAAGAAGACCAATCAAAATCCATTGACTTCTGCAGAATTCTTTCAGGCTTTATAGATTTGTACACTTTTGAAAGCTGAATATTTGCTAAGATGGATGAGATTGTAATTAAGATCTCCTTTTGTCCCTTGATGTGTTGAATGCCTTATGTGTTAAAAACTACCATATTGAAAGCAGTGTATTTTTCACTAATATTAAAGATCTGGTATATGAGTATTGGGGCAGCTTAGTAGTGCCTGTGGGTGCTGTAACATTGAGATCTTACAGAACCTTCCAGTACCTAAAGGGGGTCTGCAAGATAGCTGGAGAGACTGTTTGCAAGGGAATGGAACAGTAAGACAAGGGGGAACGGCTTCAAGCAGGCAGAGGGTGGGTTTAGAACAGATATTAGAGAGAAATTCTTCGCTGTGTGGGTGGTGAGGCGCTGGGACGAGTTGTAAAGAGGAATTCTGGATGTCCATTCCTGGCAGTGCTCAAGGCCAGGTGGGATGGGGCTTTGAGCAACCTGGTCCAGCGGAAGGTGTCCCTGGCCATGGCAGGGTGGCTGGAACTAGATGACCTTTAAGGTCGCTTCCAACCCAAACTATTCTATGATTCTGTGACTGGACAACAGCGTAAAGAGAAAGAAAATAGTTTGAGAGAGTATGATGTGTGCTTTATATCAACGATTTTTGCTCAAATTGCAATCTCAGGGAGCTCTGAAAAAGGGTGAGAGTGGAAAAAAGAAAAAAAAAAAGAAAAAGAGCAACAATCCCCTTTCCTCCTCGTCGCGCTGTGGAGCGGTCACCGCTGCCCAGGGCCCGCGGCTGCACACTGGGCAACCTCCCGGAGGGCTGCGGCCATGCCAGGGATTCAACAGGAGCGACGGGACCGCGGCCACCGTCGGGAAGAGCGCAGCGCAGCCAGCCCTCGCTCCCTGTCCCGGGCTGCAACCTGTGGCACGGCAGGGCACGGCACGGCCCCAGCCCCAGCCCTCGCTCCCTGTCCGGGCCGCAGTCTGTGGCACAGCAAAGCCACCCCGGCCGCAACCTTTCCCGGGACTGGGCCCCGCGGAGTGCGCATGCGCGGCTCGCAGCAGTGACGCTATTGTTGTGGCGCGGCGGGGAAGCACGTGAGGAGTGCGACGTCACCATAAACACTCGTGGGCAACATGGCGGCGCCGCCGAGCGGCAAGGTAACGGGGGCGGGCGGCGGCGGGGCCGGTCTCTCCCGCCGCGGGACGCGCCGTGTCGGGCGCTGGGTCGCCCCAGCTGGCGGGAGTCGCGGGGAAGGGGGGGGTTGGGCCGCTGAATGGCCGGGCGGGCGCCTTTTCCCCTGCCTGCGGGTGTCGCCTCCCGGGGCCGCGTCTCCGGGTGTCGTCCTGGCCCCGGGCGGACCCAGCCGGGCGCTGGCAGCGGCCGCGGACCCTCTGCGCCGGAGGCGGTCGCGGCCTCGGGCGGGACTCGGGCCCTTCCCGCACCTGCCGGCCGGGCAGCGCCCCGCGCCTCCGCGGCAGCTCGGCCCCGGCCCCGGCCCCGGGGTGGCGGGAGGCCGCTCTCCTCAGGGGGGGCAGCCCCGCGGCCGCGCTGGCTCCCCGCCTGCCCGCCGGAGGCTGAGGAACGCCGCTTGTCCCGTCTACGTGTCCGAGCGTCCCGGAGGCGCTCACGGACGGTAGCGGCCTTTCCCCCGGCCTGCGCGCTGGTAGCGTGTGGGAAGCTGCCCCCGGCGTGCGTACAAAGCCTTGTCAGTCCCATAGTTTAGTAGT